CAGACAGGAAGAATTCTCCCTTACTCAGAGAAACATCAGCTTTTTGTTCTACTCATACCTTCAACTTATTGGATGAAGTTGACCCACACTAGGGAGATCAATCTGCTTTACTTAGTCTACCAGTTGAAATATTAACCTGATCTAAAACACATTCACAGAAACACCCAGAGTAATGTTTGACCTCATATCTAGGCACCCATGGGATAGTCAGGTTGACATGAAGTTGACCATCACAGAGTGCCATGGGGACATGCAGCTAGGACCCCCACTCCGGAAGTACTCCCATAATTCCCCCCACCCCAGGACTCCATGCAGTGTCCTTTTTCTCTGCTCTCATAGCCTTCATCACAGTCCTTGTGTCATAATTCCTATTGGCATGGCCTCTCTCCTGATGGACCATAAGTGCCTTGATGTTTATATGGTACGTTAAGACCTTGCTTTGAAGTCAGACCAACTAGATTTCATTTTCTGGCTCTCCTCTTAACTGTATACCTGGACACGTTTCTTACCAATCCCAAGCTTCAGTTCCCTTATCTGTAAAAAAGGATAGATTTAGCACCTACCAGTCTCATAAGAATGTTGTAAGGATTAAATGAAGGAATATTATACATGGGAAGTATTTAGAGCTGTATTGGCACATGGTGGAGCCTTAGAAAATAGAAACTATTACTCTCACTCACCATTGAACTTGAGCACCCAGCACACTTTCCAGCAAGTGACAGGCTTTTGATCTGACTTGGATAGCACCACTCGGATTCATTTCCTGCCAATGACTGTCTGTGTCCAAGGGCATCTCAGGGACTCATTCTTCCAGAACCCAGCCAGTATGGCTCAGTTCCTCCCAGACAGGTGCTGTGGGAAGGGAGGGTGTCTGATCTTGTCTGAAGGAGAGTGATGACAAGATAGATAGTGGTAGAAGGCTGTGGAGTGCCTGGAGCAGAAAACCGAGAACTATTCTGAAAGGCAACATCCTTTCTTTAGTGACCAGCACCTCCCAGCTTGATTTTCAGTTAATTGCAAAACTGACTTTAATCAGGCAATTAATTTTTGGCCAATTGCTTTCCAAAGGAGGACACCTCAGGACAACTCATGATCAAGCATTTGATTTCCACTTCAACAATAATTGTGTGCCCAGTGGGATGAACTGACATTGGGCAGTTGCATCTTTTGCTGTCATTAAGGATTTTCCTGCTTTGCCGGGAGCTTTGGAACCAGTGCCTTAGACTGGCTGACTCAGCAGTGCCAGACATGACAGGGTTTTACTGTTCTCCTGACAAGGTCATCCACCTGTTGCCCGGGGAGGCAAGCCCTGTCATGGGGTCTCCATTCAGGCCTTCCCTACCTCAGCAGCTCAGTTTCTGTGCCTGGGAGTAGGAACCATCACCCTCCCTGTATACTTCAGGGTGACAGTGTGTGATATGACACCTAGATCAATGAGGTGATATTTGCAAAAACACTTGGAAGAGAGCACAGTGTTACACACCTATGGGGGAGCAGCAGAAAAGATTTGGCGTGAGGGCCTTATGTAACCCAAACTAATGTTTATACGGAAATACATGCAAAGTGGGGGGAATAACTTCCCACAGCCTGTAAACCAACAACCATGTAGCCATGGTTTTTGAAAATTATCTAGCATCATCTTTGATAGTTCAGCAAGCTCTCTCTCTTCGGAAGTTAACAGCATGGGGCTGCACGGTGTTTGGCCTTCCTGATACTTTTTATTGCTATTGATAGTTTTCATTCCAACCCATCTTTCTGCACCAGCACCACCAAATGACTGAGTGTACTGCAAGATATACAGTATAACAACAGTGCACATTAAAATATAACAAGAGCAAACATTAAAATAACAGTGCAATGACCCCAACGTCACTCTGGTGGGGACTCCTCTGCACACGCCACAGTGCAGGTAGGAACTGGGCATTCGGTCCTCAGTCATGTTCGCACCGGCCTCAGGGCCAGAGCAGAAGCACAGTTTACAATTCACTGGGTTCAGTATGAAAGCCAGTGTCAGGGGTTTAATTGTGTCCCTCACCAGAAGATTTTGAAATCCTAACCCCCAGTACCTGCACACATGACCTTACTTGGTAATAATCACATTCCTAGGAGGATTGCTATAATATAGTTGTGATGGTTCATTTTATGTGCCGATATGGCTAGGCTTCACTGCCCAGCTACCTAGTCAAACAGTAATCCAGGTGTTGCTGAGAAGGTATTTTGTAGACGTGGACAACTTCTACAACCAGTTGACAGTAAACAACGATGAACCTTGGTAATGTGGGTAAGCCTCGTTTAATCAGTTTGAGACCTGAAGAGGAGAGAAAGTCTTCCTCAAAGCTGCAGCATTAACTCTTACCTAAGTGCCCAGCCTGCTGGTCTGCCTAACTGACTTTGAACTTGCCAACCCTTCCAATCACATAGCCAGTTCCATAAGATAATAGTAATTCCCTATTTATATATGTTATGTAAATATAACATATAATATACAAACATCTATAGGTACATACAAATTCTGCAATCCTTTAAGTAACAAATTTCATATGTAGTCACACACATGTATGTATCTATGTATGTGTACACACATATTCACTTGTATGGGTATATGCATATGTGTGCGTATGTGTGTGTCCTGTGGATTCTGTTTTTCTGGAGAACCCTGATCTAAGCGACAGTATAGTTAGAAATAGCAGAATTTTCCCAGAATTGAGATTTGGGGCTGAGTCCCAGACGCATCATGCTACCAGCTCTGGGAACTTTTGAAATTCCTGGAAGGCCTAAAATTCTCTTCTTACTTTAAATATCTCATCAATAATGTGAAAATTAAAAAAAAACGCTGAATAATAATACTTGCCTCACCTACTTCATAGAGTTGCTTTGAGTATCAAATGAAATAGATGAAAACACTTAATAAAATGTCACTAATATCAGCCATTAAATTCAAAGGGTGTATTTTCTACAAATGATAGGCAACTATCTCTTTTTCTTTCAGACTTTGCAAAATTGGCCTCTACATTGGACAATAAAAAGAGCGCGCTTGGCTTCGGACGGAAGGCATAAAGACAAAGTACTTGAGGTCACGTGAGTGAATTCAAGGAGGTAATCAATACTCTGCCGCCAGGATGTGTCCTTGCAGGGCTCAGGGAGGACAGAGAAAGACAGACAGGACGTGTACGCTCACTGTTGGCATGGAGACAGAAGGAAAGGAGGTATTTCTACCCGTCCTACAATCTCCTTAGGAGACGCATAACCGGGACAAGGAACAAATAGGTGACTGCTTCTCAGCCCTGTAGTGGGTGAAATTACTCTCCCAAGGCTTGTGTTGGGGTGTCTCTAAGCATGGCCGAGCAGGCCACCGTGTGATAGGAGAGACAGGAGGGAGCCACCACAGAGCAGAGACAGATTTCGGAGATGTGCCTGCTATTTTCTGTGTGAGGGGGGTGTCACCTGCCAGGAGTGCCACCCTGCTGCTGGTGGCTCCTTGTAGGTCAGCAGACGTGGAAAACTTGGAGTGCAGAACGCTGGCAGAACCAGAGTGCGAGCATGGCAACCTGTGCGCGTATTCGGTACTGCAGGATGGAGAGCTGTGCACAAGGTGCTGCTAAACTGTCCAACAGCATCCCTCCTCTCTGTGTCCGGGTCCGGGACTCGCTGCAGCCTCCTCCCTGTTCATACAACACAAAGCCAAACGGCTGCTTTTGCTGAGTTTGCTCCTCACCGGTGCATTGCCAAGGGCTCAGCAGTCATCACAGCTGTTCCTGCAGCCTCCGCCCCCCCAGTTCTCATTCACCGTCTTTAATGGTTAAATGACGCCATGCCTGTTAGGCCACAGGGTGCTTTTGTATTTCCCTGGTCTACCAAGTGTTATCCAGACCAACAAATCAGTTCAGAGAACAAAATGCTTTCTTCTCAAGTCCGACAGACAGCCCGTTCCTCTAATAGTATAATTCTAATTTAAAAAGCATCCAGCGTGCCTGGCGTGAGCTTGTTCCCAGTCTCACTGCCCATAGTCTGGGATTTCCCTATTTCTCAGCGCTCCTTGTGACACATTTTTCCTTACACATACTGGCTTCACCCTCACCCCTCCTTCAAGATTTGTCCTACTTTCGTATTTCCAAGACTGTTCTGCATGAGTATTTTCTTTGTCTTCCAGGATTCCTTTTATTTCCCATTTGTTTCCTCCCTAGATAATCATAAAAATCCAAAGCCTGGATCACCAGGTGTCATTAAGTGGGCCACGTAATTCCAGCATGTTTATGGCCACGTGTGCGTGAGCACTGCCCGCTCCACTCATCCCCTGTGTGTGTGTCTGTCCTGGAGCTCTGGTCCCCAGAGGCAAGGAAGAGTCCGCACGCTGGCGCCTGCCCGGGGCCACACCCAGGCCTCTGGAGTGGGAGGAGCCTTATTCCGCAGGAATTTTAGAGAGGAAGGGAGACTGTGGCGCCCTTCCTCGAGCGTGCTCCACGCACACCTGAGTTTAAGCAGAAAGTCCCATAAAAAAATGATAAAACCTTTGGGTGAGCAGCATCTCAAAAGCAAGGAAGGAGCCACCCTGTTGTACATCTGAAACTAATATAGCCAATAGCATATTATATAACTATACTTACATGCACATAAATAAGTAATTTAAAATTTTTTTAAAGCAAGGAAGGAGGGAGAGCGGGAGGGGGGAACTTTCAGGGAGAAGAGGGACGTGACACTTTCCAGCTCCCCAGAGTCACCTGAGATCGTTTGACAACATCTAGTAGGTTCAGAGACACAGATAACTTCGTTTCCCCAGCTGTACTCAAAGCAAAGCCGGCGTCCTGTGCTGGTGGGCCAGACCGGCCAGCATGGTGAACGGTCCTTAGGTTAAAAATGGTTTTTACATTTTTATGGGGGTTATGAAGAAGCTGGTGTGGTAAGGGGAGGGCGGGAGGTGTTAACAGACCCTGTTAAAGTTTAAAGTATTTATGACCTGGCCCTCTACAGAAAAAGCTGGCTCTGGAGTTTTCTAAACTTACCTGATCGTCTTAGGACTCACTTGTGGAGACTGTCACACACGCAGATCCCCACTGCCAGTCTACTGCAGCATTGTCGGAATCACTAAAGGTCAGGGCTGGCCTGAATGTCCATCCACGGGAGAATAAATGCAGTGGCCGCAGTTATTAACCCAGGAAACACTCACATGTAAAAACTGCACTGCAGAGAGATACACAGAGTATGATACCCTTTATACAAAGTTGTTAATGTAGCATTGTTCACAGATCCTGCCTAAGTACTAAAAGTATCCAGGTATTCATGGGAATGGTAAATATCAAATTCAAGTTCATAGTTACCTCTACAAAAAGAGAGAGAAGGGTCAGCGAGAGCACAAAGAGGATGTCAATGTTACATAATGTCTTACTTCTTTTTTTAAAATAATTAATTTATTTATCTTTAGAAGGGAAGGAGAGAGGGAAAGAATATCAATGTATGGTTGCCTTTCATGTGTCCCCGGCTGGGAACTGGCCCAAAACCCAAGCATGTGCCCTGACTGGGAATCAAACTTCGACCCTCTGGTTCACAGGCCTGTGCTCAATCCACTGAGCTACACCAACGAGGGCATGTTTTACTTCTTATGCTTCCTGGCAAGTAGATAAATAGATGAGAGGTAGATATAGATATAGAGACATATAATCTTACCTATAAGTGAACCCTAATGAATAAAATGAACAAACGAACAAAACAGAACCAGAGGCATGGAAACGAGGAACAGAGTGACAGGGGTCAAAGGGGAGGGGTCAAAGGGGAGGAAGAAGGGAAAGGTTCAGTTACAGAACAAGTATGAATGACCCATGGACGCGGACAACAGGGTGGGGACTGATTGTGAGAGCAGGGGGAGGGGGTTGGGAGGGGCCAGGGAGAGCAACGGGGGAAATTGGGACAACTGTAATAAAATAAAAAGTCAGAAAAATAAACCAATAAAGAGAAATATAGATATTTCAATATTACCCCTTAGGTTTTTTGTATACCAGAAACACTTAATTGTTATGATTTTTAAACATGACTGCTAAGTAATCTACAGCTCTAAATAGATATTCCAGGAAGCCGAAGTCTTTTAGGATTAATATATGGATCACGTAAAAGAAACTCTACACTTTCTGGTCCTTTTAAATGGTTCATTTATCAAGTGATGAAGACTTAAAAAACCAACTGACTTTTTCTAATCATTTCAAGGGGAGAAGGGTCAGCAAGCCTGTGCTTCATTAAGCAGACTCTTCCCCCTCTTCTGGAAGTGTTTTTATACTTGGATTTTCCTCTCTGAAGGAGGAAGCTTCGCTTCTGTAAGCAGGGGGAAATGCTGGTCAACAGATCTGGAACAGGAGCCAGGAGTAATGACTGTGGGGCAGCTATAGGCAGTTGCGGATGGGCTGTGGTGTGGTCTGAGGATAGAGCAGGCTGGGGCCTTGGCCGGGCTCGCAGCAAAGACACACCACAAGGAGTGTGTGTGTGTGTGGGGGGGAGCAGGGCAGCCTGAGGCAGCCGTACAAAGAAATCCTGTGGATGAAGCTTCCAGAGAGAAACAGATTGGAGCTGCTGGAGGATGGTGAGACCTACAAAAAAACCTGGAGGCCAGGAGAAAGGGCTCTGCTAATTGGAGTGTATAATTTAGGAGGTGAACACAGCACAAAGCCCTAGAGGGACTGACTGCAGATTTAATTAAAGATGATCTTCCCTAACCTTGTTCCTGCTTTAAAAATCATCGGCTCTGAGACGCACTGGAAAACCGCATGTGCCTTGTGAGATGGGCTTCTCCTTCTTTAGAACTTAGCCAGGAAGGACTGTTTTCCCACCTAGAATTTGGCCCTCTGGGATGGCTATTGGACTTGGGATTTTTCCTCAACTGCCACCTGCATCCCAAATATGACCCAAGGAGAGAGAAATGATACAAACACATTTGGAAAACTAATAAGTAGAAAGTGTTGTACACAAACAACAAAGGCTGAAACAAAAGTTTCTCAGGTTCCTACATGTCTAACTAGGGAACCCGAGAGCTGAGGGATCCCGGATGTACACACCTGTCCCGCCAGAGGCCGGTGGTGCTCCAGGCTTGCTTCTAGAGATGCTGCCTAATTCTGGCCCCATAGGCTTGGGGAGCACCGTCAGCTCCCCCGGACTTCCTGGCTTCTCTCCTTAGGTTGAGCGGCATCAGATGAATGATGGGAAAAGGTCAAGAAGTGCGTAAGGGGAAGGCCTGCCTGAAGAGCAGTGATCGTCATTTCTGAAGCTTAGAATGAGGAAGAAAAGCATTCCAAGTAACCACATGCAGTATCTGCCTCTGGAAAGAACACAGTGCTGTAGTGCGTGTGCATACCTACACAGACAAAGTCTCATCCTGTTACTTTATCACTTTGCAGGCAGAGACAGCAGGGACAGACACTTACAACAGCACTGGAAAGCACACCCGTAAGAAGCAGCAAAGCAGGGCGAGTGTGCAGGACCGATTCCAAGCCCTGTGCTATTGACTGACTGACCGATAGATTGGTTGGCACCATATCTTTGCAGCTACTCAAGCTTCCGACCTAATGAAGATACTTCATCGGTTCTGTAGATGCTGATACTGGGCCAGACCTTCCACATTAATTGCTCATTTGCTTCTCTCTGCCCCGTGAGGGCATCCAGGCCGATGCTGTCAATTTTACAGAGGAGCAGATTAAAGCCCAGAGGGAACCTCTTGCCCAAGGATACCAGGCTGCGTTATGACAGTTCCCAGTGTCATTGTCAGTCTGTTAACATCTTGGAGTCCACCCGAAGCCCACAGTGGCTTTATCAAAAAGAAGGTCATACTTGTCCCCACCCACGCCCTTGCAAGCTTCAGTCTCACAGTCCCTTGGGGGCTGTTCCAAGCTAGACCTTTCTTAGAAATATTTGCATTGTGTGGAGGAATGACTTGGATCAGGGAATCACAGACCACTTAATATGGTGCCGAGGGCCTGCCTCAATGCATATGAAGTTTTGCTATTTTTTATTTTAAATACTGAGAGATGCTTATGTCGAAAAATGGGAGCCACAGTTGTGACTGTCCACACTTCCCCAGCCTAGATCACCGTCTCACTGGAAAGCTGGTCGACCTGCAGCCACCAGCTTCCCACAGGTTAGCAGAGTTGCCCTTGTCATCAGATTGCCTGCTCTGAAATCAAAACTTTGTCATCTACTGGGTTGGCTGACCTCAGCCCACTCAACCTCCCCAAGCCTCGGCTGCTCACCTATAGGCTGGGTAAAACAACAGCCTCCCAGCAGGCACAGCTATGAGAATTCCCCAGAAAATGCTTCCCAGCACATAGTACCAGCACAGTGAGCACTCAGGGACAGGTGGCTGGTGTCACTGTCCCTTGCTCGGTGGGGTGTTGGGGATCATGACAGCATCCCTAAGTAAAAGCACTTGGACTTGAAAAGGGTTTCTGGGCTCCTACTGTTCGTAGTCATGTGAGCTGGACAGACAGACAGAGCAGAGGCTAGACAGACACCCATGATTCACAGTGCAATGAGAAGCCCTTCCTGGGCCTATTCTGGCTACTGCTGCTTTGGACCATTCTGGAGAGAAAATATTTTCCTCTTTCTTAAAAATGTTACTGGAAGAAAGCAATCCCCACTCCCCCAATGCTTCAGCATATCTTTAAGGATATATTTTTATATATATTTCCGCACTTGCATAGTCCACTTAGTTCTTCCTGCTGGAGTTTGACTCTATTTTGTCCTTTTTCCACATTCCCCACAGGCCTCTTTTGTGGATGGGGAGACTGGGTTCCAATGGACCGTAAGCCTGTTCCCCAAGAGGAATAAGGCTTCTGGCTAAACCTTCTCTGCCAGGGCCTTTCAGAAACTTCCAGACACTCTGTGTGACCGTGTGGGCCCCAGCACACAGGTCAGCCCATGCTGATCACCCTCGGCTGGCACCGGACATGAGCAGGAAGTTCACAGAGGTGCTGGGCAAGGACACCTCCCCAAAATGTACTTTCCTCCCCAAACTTTGTTTCCTGGCACAAAAAGTAAATCTAATTCTTACAATGAAAAAAAAAACCCTAAAATATTCCAGAAATGTAATAGATACGTGGTCTTCCAACTCCTAACCCCATAGTTCCAACCCAAGAAAACTGCTGACAATAGAATATTCTTCCACTTTTTAAAAAATGTATCAAATCATACATACATACTGTTTTAAAAGTGGAATTCCATTTTTAAAAGTGGAATTACGTGACATACTCTCCTTGGATTTCCTTTCCCTTCTGCATAACCAACACCATGTTGGTATCTCATTCCTTTAAAAATTACATATTTACTGATAGGCATGAGGTAGTTTCCATTTTTCTCTGTTATAACCAATACCATAATCAAGATTATTTACTTTTATATATTTGTGCAGATATTAAGTACATTTTAAAGAGGGTCGCTGCTGAAACAAAGGGTCTTAGCATGTTATAGTTTAATAAAGAATTCTAAGTTGCCCTCCAAATATACGGTCCCCGCTGGTACACCTACTCTGTGCTGTCACTGGGCAGAGGTGACCCTTTTTCAGCCTGGCTCCTAATCACAAATGTGGACATCCTGCTGCTCACATCTGGGGTAACCTCTCAGAGTTAACTTAATCTGCAAATAGCCTTACGACATTCCAATGACCTTTGTTATGGTTTTTCTTCCACTAAGTGTAACTATGTCCATCCAGCCCTCATACACCCCAACCCTCCTCCTTAATGGGGAATTTGACCAAAGCAAAGATGATTAAAGCTGAAGATGCCAACCAGGAGTATGAGCTGGTTAAACTGAAGGAGGACGAATGACTGATAGTGGAGGGGGCCTCACGCTCCTGTGGGAAGGGGCTGTGACTTGGTAGGGGAAGGAGGGGAGGGCGCAATCTTAACCTTGTGGCTGCTGAAAGCTCACTCTAATAGGTACCTGCAAATCCCACCGCTCCTAATAGCCCAAGCTTTTCCCTCTGGGATTCTTTCTTTTCAAATCAGTGGCACTGTAGCTTGGCCTCAGGGCCACAATTTAAAATGGGGGAAGAGAGGCCACAGGCAGCAGCATTTTGTGAACCTAGAACTCGCATAGCGCGAGCTGCATCCACCAACCATGGTGAGCAGCTGAGTTCCTCCGACAGCGACAGATGATTTCAAAACTTTTTCGGAAGCCTCAAAACTTCATAAAAATCAATGAAACGTCCCCAAAAGTCCAGTTCCGTGTAAGCATGTGAATGCTTAGTCATGAAACACTTTCATAATCCAAGATAAGCCTCTATATTAACTTCCCCAATAACTACCTGTGACTAACTCCCAAGGACTTCCCCGAAAACTCTGACCCCCTTAGTAATGAAGTCAGTATCTAAGGGAGGTGATTGGGTTAATGGTTAGTTATGATTTTTAAACCCCTTCAAATCTGCTTGTTTCTTCCTGGACAATCATCACTGAGCAAACATTAAGTCTGATGATCATTTGTCGTTGGCAACAAAATGGGAATTTTAATTTGTAAAGGGTTTTTGCCTTTGGGCTCTGAAGTGCCTTAAAAACGTGGCTTCGCCTGGTCCAACACATGGTGGGTGAGTCTTTGTTCCTGACATGGAGGAAGAGAGAGAGTGGCTTTTGTCGAAGTAATTTCAGCCCACGGAACAATCATTTCCAGACATGAATTATTTTAAAGGAAACTGCTGACCCTATATGGTTGAAAATGATCAGTCAGATTAGGATCTAAATAAAAGAACTACCTTCTAGCTATGAGAATGATACAGGTCACACTGAAAGTGACCAAGATGGGGATATGTTCTAACAAATGTATCGATATGTATCATTAGGTGATTATGTCATTATGTGAACATCATTCCACAAAGCTAGGTGGTGCAGCCAGGACACACTTAGGCTGTATGGTAGAGCCTATTGCTCCTAGGCTACAAGCTTGTACAGCATGTTACTGTACTGAATGCTGCAGTCAACTGGAACACAGTGGCAAATATTCATGTATCTAAACATGGACAAGGTACTGTAAAACTATGGTACACAGATAAGAATGGTACACCTGTACAGAGCGCTTACCATGCATGGAGGCTGCAGGACTGGAAGGGCTCTGGGCAAGTCGGTGAGTGAGTGCTGAGCATGTGCAAAAGGCCGGGACATGACCGAACACCACTGGAGACTTTATAAACACTGTACGCTTAGGCTACACTCAAGTTATATATGTTTTGTATGTCCTCAGTAATAAATTAAACTTAGCTCACTCTGACATTATTACTTTGTAAACTATTTTTTTTAACTTTTTCATTCTTTTGTAATAACACTTAGCTTAAAACACATATACAAGGTACAGTTGTCCAAACATATTTTCTTTTCTTTCTTTCTTTCTTTCTTTCTTTCTTTCTTTCTTTCTTTCTTTCTTTCTTCCTTCCTTCCTTCCTTCCTTCCTTCCTTCCTTCCTTTCTTTCTTTCCTTATCCTATAAGCTTTTTTCTATTTTAAAATTTTTTAATTTTTTTTCACTTCTAAAGCTTTGTTTGTCGAAAACTAAGATGCGTGAATAACGATACACTCAGTGCTGGCTGGCTGGGGGTGGAGCAATGCCCACTGTGGGGCGGGACTGGGGTGGAGCCATGCCCACTATGGGGTGGGGCTGCAGGCAAGTGTCGGGCTCCCAGCAGCCTCTCCTGCACCGTGAAATGAAGAAGGGTCATTCAGCCCCCACCTGCTCTCGCCCACCTGCTTCTCCGGGTGGTGGGCTTGGTGCCTGGGCCAGTCTGGCTCTGGCTCTGGCTTTGCTGTGGCTCCTTCAGTCAGTGTCCCTCGGGGAAGTGGTGATCATGACTCAGAAAGACCTCATGTCCCCAACCACCGCGTCTTCTTGGAAAGAGCTACATATAATCACACACTCTTATTGCTGAGAAGCTGGTTCTGCATGATCTTTAACAGGCACTCCAGGTGGTAAATGAAAATTAGATGCCTGGTGTGTTACAGGAATTGCTAACCAGCTTGCCCTGAGCCGCTTTTTCTTCCAAGTTTGCCTCCTCAGGTAACTGATGAAAGGATACTCCATGCCCAGCAGCCAAGGCCACGTCCAGGAGCTTTTTATTAGGGGAGAGGGCAAGAGCATGGAAACAGAGTGGCAGCCTCACACAGCCGGCCGCT